TCTGAACCTAACAAAAAAAATATATTTGATTGTGTTTGTTTAGTATTAAATTATTGTAAACGTATTTAAAATATATTTAGTTGGGTTAGGCTAAAATAAATTGTTCTTGTTATAATAAGGTTAGGTAAGTTTTCTAAGATTCTTTTGGTGCAAAATTAAATTTTTTTACATTAACATTAATGAAAAAAATATATATATAAACGTATAAGAGAAAATTTTCGAAAGGTCTTAATTTTAAATGAGTTCTTGCTAATTGACCAGTTTTACATATTCGGCACGACATATATATATATACATATATATATATATATATATATATATATATATATATATATATATATATATATATATATATATATATATATATATATATATATATATATTTAAAACACACACACAGGTGTTAGGTTAAAATGAGTGCAGTAGTTTAGAGCGTGCACAAATGAGAGGACGGCGGGTTGTGGCATAACATAATTCTCCAACAAGCACTGTAAATGTTTTTCAGTGTTTTGAGCAGGATACAATTCCTGGTAGTAAGAAATACCTGCCATACCCTGCATATTTCTACAGTAGCTCACCAGCTGGGGATACAACAGAAATCGTGAACCGTGGTATTTTGCGACTGGTGAGCGTGTGTGTGTGTGTTACCTGTGTTACCTGGAGTTTACCTGGAGAGGGTTTCCGGGGGCAACGCCCCCGCGGCTCGGTCTGAGACCAGGCCTCATAGTTGATAAGGGTCTGATCAACCAGGCTGTTACTGCTGGCTGCTCGCGTGTGTGTGTACTCGCCCAATTGTGGTTGCAGGGGTCGGGTCACAGCTCCTGGCCCCGCCTCTTCGCTGATCGCTACTAGGTCCAATCTCTCCCTGCTCCATGAGCTTTATTATACATGTTCTTAACGTTATGTATGCATCCTGCCTCCACTACATTACTCTAGACTGTTCCACTTCCTGACAACTCTGTGACTGAAAAAATACTTCCTAACATCCCTGTAACTCATCTCGGATTTCATCTTCCAATTGTGACCCCTTGTTGCTGTGTCCCATCTCTGAAACATTCTGTCCCTGTCCACCTTGTCAAAGTGTGTGTGTGTGTGTCGTGTCGAATAGGTAAAACTTGTGATTTGGGCTTAAATAGCAACGCTCTTCTTGCCTAATAATGCAAACGAAAATTTGTGTATTGCAGTAATTTCGCAAAAATCATTCTGAACCTAACAAAAAATATATTTCATTGTGTTTGTGTATTATTAAATTATTGTAAACTTATCTAAAATAAATTTAGTTGGATTAGGCTAAATTAAATTGCGCTTGTTATAATAAGGTTAGGTAAGATTTCTAAGGTTCATTTTGGTATAAAATTATTAATTTTTACATTAACATAAATAAAAAATATATCTTTAAACGTTTAAGAGAAAATTTTAGAAAGGACTTAATTTTAAACGAGTTCTTGATAATTGACCAATTTTACCTATTCGGCACCATACACACACACACACACACACACACACACACCTAACACACAGAACCTAACACACACACACAACCTAACACACACACACAACCTAACACACACACACAACCTAACACACACACACACACCTAACACACCAACACACCACACACCTAACACACACACACACACACACACACACCTAACACACCACACACACAACACACACACACACCTAACACACACACACCTAACAAAAACACACACATACACACCCCAAAACAACCAACACACATACACACACACCATAACACACACATACACACACCAAACAACACACACACACCTAACACACACAACCACACACCTAACACACACATACACACACACCTAACACAATCACACACCAACACACACACACACACCTAAACACACACACCATACACACACACCAACACACACCAACACTACACACAACACCTAACACACACACATACACACACACACCTAACACACACACATACACACACACACATACACACACACACATAACACACACAACACACACATACACACACACACACCCAACACACACACACACACACCTACACACACACACACACACACAGCACACAACACACACACACACACACACACACACACACACACACACACACACACACACACACACACACACACACACATAACACTAACACACAACCTAACACACACACACACTAACACACACACACACGCACACACACACACACGCAACATACACACACGCACAGCACAACACACGCTACACAGCACACACACAGAACCACTACAACACACACTAACACACACACCACACACACAACACACACACACCACAGCCAACACCATGGATGAACTAATTTACCATAAAGGCAATAAAAGCCAGAAGCTTCCAGACGTAAAGAGAGAGACTTCATTAGCATATGCAAATGGCACATGTAAGAATATCCTTTGGGAATCTCAACAATGTATCCTATAATAATCTCGGCCTAATAGGGTCACAAGCTTGAGTTGCCTTGAAAACTCGTACAGTGGAGTAAATTTTAACGTTTAAGTGGTACAGAAGTGGAATGAGCTAAGTAATGATATAACGAAAGTAAACTCCATATAGGGATTTGAATATTGGTACGAGAATTCTCATTTCCTGTCGGTCGCTTGAAAGTTTTTTGGAAGGTCCAGGAGCTAGAGCTCATCTCTTACAAACTCAAATAGTTAATTACATGTAGAAACGAGAGTGGAGGGAGTGATTGATAAGCAGGGAGATAGGTTCGCATCCTGTGAACAAAACCTAATTTGTCCGAAATGCTTTGCAAAACAAGGGGGCTTTGTATGTTTGTCATTGATGCCATCTAGGTCTGTATATGTTGTACAGGTACTTGTAGAGTGCATAACAGGGCAGGTGCCAGCAGTTTGATCTTCGGGTGACCTGGCAGGTGGTTCGCTTGGCACCCTAGCCTGGCAGCGGCACCCCTGGCACTTGTCCTTGCCAGGAACTCAGTGCGGGGGAGGGAGGCCGGCATTGGCAAGTACAGTCGTGTTGGCGGGCAGATACCAGCATACAGATATAAGCAGGCATATATAAGCTGAAGTACATAGCCAAAGATGTGCAGATAGATAGGCAAATATAAACAGAGAGGCTAAGTAGATAAGAAAAGATGTGCAGATAAATAGGTAAAAGATAAGCAAACAGGTGAAGACGCAAATTTCAATACTAGGCTTGGCACAATATGACATACACACTACAGTAAGTTTACTGGCCTATGTTGGGCAGCTCCTGATCACACTGCTACTCTCACACTGATGATCACACTGCTACTCTCACACTGATGATCACACTGCTACTCTCACACTGATGATAACACTGCTACTCTCACACTGATGATAACACTGCTACTCTCACACTGATGATCACACTGCTACTCTCACACTGATGATCACACTGCTACTCTCACACTGATGATAACACTGCTACTCACACACTGATTATCACACTGCTACTCACACACTGATGTTCACACTGCTACTCTCACACTGATGATCACACTGCTACTCACACACTGATTATCACACTGCTACTCACACACTGATGTTCACACTGCTACTCTCACACTGATGATCACACTGCTACTCACACACTGATTATCACACTGCTACTCACACACTGATGTTCACACTGCTACTCTCACACTGATGATCACACTGCTACTCACACACTGATGTTCACACTGCTACTCTCACACTGATGATCACACTGCTACTCACACACTGATGATCACACTGCTACTCTCACACTGATGATCACACTGCTACTCACACACTGATGATCACACTGCTACTCACACACTGATGATCACACTGCTACTCACACACTGATGTTCACACTGCTACTCTCACACTGATGATCACACTGCTACTCACACACTGATGATCACACTGCTACTCTCACACTGATGATCACACTGCTACTCACACACTGATGCTCACACTGCTACTCACACACTGATGCTCACACTAACTGACCAACACCATAGACATTGTTTACAATTTACTTTTATTGCAGGTTCCTATATCACACAATTTTGTCAAGTTTTATGAATTCTGATGTTTTTGCCAGGCTTATCGTGCCCCACTATACATAGTCCTTGTTTAGTTTTCTGTACTGGGTTGAGAAAGTTCCTGGCGGGTGAAATGTCTCCTTAATAAGTGTCTTAATACCGTTTTTGTGTCTTACATCAGTCAGTATTCTATCATTTTTATGCCAAATAAATCTCCAAACTGTAACATTACCATCCCTTCAGAGTTAAGGCACTGCTCTTTCCACCTCTAGAATTCAGTTCCGAGTAACCGATTTTTCATGAGTATTACGTAACTGTTACTTTCTTCACACTTCAAAAACACATCAAGCCATAAAGACCACTTGTCACCACTCCGATTTAACAAGCTCACACAAGCCTGCTGGATGCTCAAGCCCCTATCACTCAAATACTCACAGCTTCCCTAACCCTCTTCCTCCAACCCTTCCTGGGATGATCCATACCGTTCCTTCCACCACAAATTTATACATCCCCTTGGTCATTCTATTCTTCACACTTTCTAAATGACCATACCATCTCAACATTGCATCATCTGCCCTTTCCTTATATACGATTGATGCAAAACAACCACGGGAGGAGTTGACTGATAGCTCTAGGCCTTTTGTGTTGCAATCAGCACATTAGGAGCTTGCAATGTTACAGAAATGAGTAGGAAGTCCAGGTAGATGCGTTCAAGGTAACAACACTAGCTAGTCGTTCCCTTGAACGCATCTACCTGGACTTTCCTACTCATTTATGCAACATTACAAGTTCCTGACGTATTGATTGGAACACAAAAGGCCTAAAGCTATCAATAAACTCCCCCCGTGGCTGTTTTGCATCTTTTATCGCTTGTTCGCGATTATTGCATACGGTTAATGTAACATACGTGTATCTTACTGACACTGTGAATTGATGCAAGTGTCGTGTCATCCCGCAGGCTGCCGTGCAGGCCAGCAAGACGGACCTGACGCCCCTGAGGGAGGCTAAGCTGCCTGTCATCTTCGTCTTAGGTACGTCTAATTCCTAAGTTTAGATGGTAAGGGAAGGAGGGGAAGGGGATATAGAAGAGGGTATGAGGAAGGGAAGAAAGTGGATAGGATGGCAAATTAGGAGGGAGGTGTGGAAGGGGTACGAGAGATGGGGGAAGGAAAAAGGTTAAAGTAAAGGGGAGGGAATAAAGATAGTGGGAAGGGAGGCCGAAGGAATTATTTTTTTTAAATGGGGAGGAAAGAGGTAGAAGGAACAGTTACAAGAATTGAATGGATGTTAATAAATGCAGTAGAATGAGTGCAGGTAAACGACATGAAGGAAGAGAAGAGGACATTGTGAATGACAGAAGAATGATTTGTCATTCTATGGATCACCCATCTTTGGTCATTATTGTGCGATGATCATCCTAGGTTATTACTGTGTGATCATCCTAGGTCAGTATTGTGTGGTGATCATCCTAGGTCAGTATTGTGTGGTGATCATCCTAGGTCAGTATTGTGTGGTGATCATCCTAGGTCAGTATTGTGTGGTGATCATCCTAGGTCAGTATTGTGTGGTGATCATCCTAGGTCAGTATTGTGTGGTGATCATCCTAGGTCAGTATTGTGTGGTGATCATCCTAGGTCAGTATTGTGTGGTGATCATCCTAGGTCAGTATTGTGTGGTGATCATCCTAGGTCGTTACTGTGATGATTGTTTACTGTATAATGCGGTGACAACTTAAGTGTGGTGAGCCATCGGGATGCTTCACTAGTGACCGGCTCATATGGTGAACACCAGTGTCAGGAGACACTTTTCGTGACGGACAAAACACTACCACTTGGAGGAACGCCCGTAGTGTGTGTGTGTGTGTGTGTGTGTGTGTGTGTGTGTGTGTGTGTGTGTGTGTGTGTGTGTGTGTGTGTGTGTATGTGTGTATGTGTGCGCGCGCGCGCGTACTCACTAGTGTGTGTAGGTGGATGTGGAGTGTAATGAACACTTGTCTGTTGTATCTTCACTATGCTGCACCTGTCCCTGACCATCTATATTTGTCCCTGACCATCTGTACCTGTTGCTGACCACCTGTGTTTGTCCCTGGCCAACTAGAGGGCCACTTGCAGATTGCCAACTAGAGGGTCACTTAGTGCCAACAAGAAAGAGTGATGAGGAATGATAGGTTATTTCCGAACATCTAGCCGTAAATAGGTACCAGAATGTTAGTGGATTGGTGTGGGTGGCATCCTGGGTGTGGGTATTTAGATAGGTACCAGGGTTTTAGTGGAGTGAGGTGGGTGGCATCATGGGTGTGGGTATTAAGATAGGTACCAGGGTTTTAGTGGAGTGAGGTGGGTGGCATCATGGGTGTGGGTATTAAGATAGGTACCAGGGTGTTAGAGTGGTGTGGGTTGCATCCTTGGCTTTGAAATGAGCTGATGTAAGATAACATTTGCAAATTGAATATTGGGACAGGACAGCGGGGGCGTTCACCCTTGAAAATATCCTTCAGGTATCCTTCATATATAATGTGTGTGTATATACAGTAGCTTCATAATTTTCTTCTTATTCTTAATAATAATAATAATAATAATAAATTATATAGATATTTATATTTTTAATATTAGCATTTTGAATATTTTTTTTTATTTTATTATTTTTATGATTATAATTATTTTTTCGGGTCACCCTGCCTTGGTGGGAAACGGCCAATGTGGTAATAAAAAAATATTATATAAATATTTATATTTTTAATGTTATTATCATTATAAATATTATTATTATCGTCACAAGAAAGCTTTACACAGCTGGTAGAGCTCTTGCAGTTTTGTGTGTGTTGTTGTTAATATAAGAATTGAAAGCAGTTTTATGGTTGCAGGCGGGCCGGGGTGCGGGAAGGGTACTCAGTGTGACAAGATAGTACAGAAGTACGGCTACACTCACCTGTCCTCTGGTGACCTCCTGAGGGAGGAGGTGTCCTCGGGCTCTGAGCGAGGCAAGACTCTCAACGCTATCATGGAGAAGGGCGACCTCGTCCCTCTGGTCAGTTAATTTTAGGTGTCTACACTTAGATAAATTAGACACATGTGCAACACTTAATGGACTGATTACATCGACTCCAGGCTGAGGTACTGATTACCTCAAACTCCTGATCTTCACCATTCATAGTTTGTATTGGACTGATGAAACCATTGTGTCGCAAAACGTTTTCACAATAAAGATACCAAAGTGTTGCACATATGTCTAATTTATCAACTTGTCGGTTCTCTGAACCATTTATGTACATTGTCAACACTTTACACCCTTTAAGGAAGGTGCCTTGAAGGAATTGGGTCGATCCTTCCCTTCCCTGTATGCGCCCTTAAGGTTAGGTTAGGTTAGGTGCTTTGGATCACGAGCTCTTTACCAGCATTAATAAGTTCGACTACCAAACAAAATACACTTGATATATACCGTCATCTGTTTTCTTGTGAGAATGAAAAAAAAGTGATTCATGTGCAAATTGTGAAGTTGTTCAACTCGTAAAAAAATTGTGAATATGATAAGCACATGTGCAACACTTTATTGTGGAGACGTTTCGCCAAGCAGTGGCTTTATTAATCCAATCCAGTGTAGTGGATTGATGAAACTACTGGTTGAGAAACGTCTCCACGAGAAAAGATACCCTAGTGTTGTATATATCTTATTCCCTTTGTTGGTTTAGGATTCAAAGTTTATTCTCTATAAAGATTACAATGTTGAATTTACAGAATTTGGTTGTTGTGTGGTTTACATGTAGTTAAATAATGATTACAGAGTGTACCACTAGAACGCCTAGCATGGCTAGGCATTTCGGGCAGACTTAGTTTAATTCTTTATTTTAAAATATTACAAATTATGAGGTAAGTTGGTATTATGGCTAAGTGACTAAATACTAGTTTGTGAGTTTAGCAATGTGAATGCTTTTGTTTTGGCACAGTACATAGTTTCAGTATTGGAGTATCATAGGATTCATTATTTTAAGATTCAGATTAATATTTCTGTTTATGGTCAAATGGGTGAGTGTAAGTGTGAACCACCAGGTGGTATTCGTGTAGTTAGTTGATGGGGTTTATCAGGGAGATAAGATGTTTTCTAATGGTAGTTTTGAAGGTGATGAATGTGTCTGCAGTTCTAGAGTTCTCAGGTAGGTGTTTCCAGATTTTAGGGACTTTGGCATACATTGAATTTTTGTAAAGGTTTAGTCGGACATGGGGAATGTCGTAGAGATGTTTGTGTCTGGTGTTATGCCTGTGGGTTCTGTCACAACTATCAGAAAGCGTTTTAGGTCAAGGTTGATATTGGAGTTTAAGGTCCTGTAGATGTAGATTGCACAGTAGTAAGTGTGGATGTACTGAACAGGGAGTAAGTTTAGATCTATGAAGAGTGGGAGGGGGTGTTGCCAGGGATGGGATTTAGTGATTATTCTTACTGCAGCTTTTTGTTGGGTTATAATTGGCTTTAGGTGTGTTGCTGCAGTTGATCCCCAAGCACAAATAGCATAGGTGAGGTATGGATAAATAAGTGAGTGGTATAGTGTGAGAAGGGCATTTTGCGGCACGTAGTATCGTATCTTGGAGAGGATCCCAACTGTTTTGGATACTTTTTTGGATATGGGTGCTGAAATTCAGGTTGTTGTCAAGGTATAGGCCTAGGAATTTGCCCTCATTATGTCTGGTAATTAGAGTGTTGTCGATCTTAATGTTAGTTTGTGCATCTCCTGCTCTGCTACCAAACATAATATAGTAGGTTTTGTCAGTGTTAAGCGTAAGTTTATTGGCTGTTATCCAAGTCGATATTTTGATCAGCTCCTCGTTAACAATGGTGTTGAGGGTGGCAAGATTAGGGTGAGAGATGACGTAAGTCGTGTCGTCAGCAAAGAGAATGAGTTTCAGGTGTTGGGATACGTTTGGAAGATCATTGATGTATATGAGGAAGAGCAGGGGACCAAGGACACTTCCCTGCGGAACTCCAGTATCAAGTGGCCGTGTTGTTGATGCTGTGTCTTTAATGGTAACATACTGATACCTATTAGTAAGGTAAGATTTGAAATAGCAAGCGCATGGCCTCTTATACCGTAATGGTCAGTTTGTGGAGTAGGTTGCCGTGGTCTACTGTGTCAAAGCTTTTCTTAGGTCATAAAAATTCCTAGTGGATATTCCTTATTTTCCAATGCTGTGTAAGCAGATCTAGCAATTTTTATGATTGCATCATTAGTGCTTTTATTTTTCCTAAATCCAAATTGGCAGGGGTGAGTATGTTTTGTGCTGTTATAAATGAATATAGTCTCCTGTGCACGGTTTCTCAAAGGGATTTTGGATAGCAATGGTAAGTTTGATATTGGCCTATAGTTGTTTAAGTCTGTAGGGTCACCACCTTTATGTATTGGTGTAACCTTGCCATCTTGATGTAGTTTCGGGAAGGTGCTAGTTTCTAGTGACTTGTTAAAAAGTAATGAAATAGCATGCGAAAGGATATGGGCCGCTCGCTTGTTCAGTAATGGTGGGACATTTAGACAGATTCCCCGGGTTGTTTTTAAGTGACTTTATAATCTCGGTGACTTCTGAGGGCTCAGTTGGTGCAAGATAGAAGGAATTTGGGAAATTCCCATCTAGGTAGTCCCCGGCATGGGCATTAGTATGTGGGATTTTATTGGCGAGATTAGATCCTATGGTTGAGAAGAGTCGTTTATCTTGTTAGCTGTGTCAGTGGGATGTAGTGGTGTTTCATTAGGTTTAGTTAGGACAATATTCTTGTTTTTTTTTTCAGTTTGTGGGTCCCTAGAATCTGAGAGAGTGTTTTCCAGGTCTTTTTTATGTCTCCTCTAGTGTCTGTGAATCTACTGGAGTAGTATAGTTTGTTTGGCTTTCTTTATTACTTGGTGAGAACTGATGAATAGTGTTTAAGAATATCTTTGTGTATTAAGCCCTGTCTATATTGCTTTTCATATTGGTGTTTCTTGTCAATGGATTTCAGAATGGTGCTGGTTAGCCATGGGCAACCAAGCCGTTTGTTTGTGATCTGTTTCGTTTTTATAGGACAATGTTTGTTGTATAGTCTAAGTAATTTGTTAAGAAAAATGTCTGTCCAGTCATCAATACCATTGGCCTTGGAGAATTCTGTAGGTCAGTCAACAATCTCTAGGTCAGTTGTGAACTTCCTTATGAGGCCTCGTCATGGAGTCTAAATGAGACTTTGTTGTATTCAAGTGGTGGGTTTATTATGTTTGTCAGGAGGAAGGTAGGGTAATGGTCTGTAGTGCTATCTGTGATTATCCCTGATTTAAGGGGGGCTAGTATATTGGTCCATATGTGGTCTATTATGGTTGCACTTGTCTCAGTGAGCCTGGTTGGTTTAGTTATTGTTTGGTATGAGAATGTGTGTTGTTCATATTGTTGATGAAATCAGTTACAGGCTGATCATCCAGTAAGCCAAGGTTTATGTTGAAGTCTCCAGCTAAGAGAAGGTGGTGCTTATTCATTTGTCTGTTTGTTATTAGTGACTTTATTTCTCACTGAAATTTGGGATGCTTGTGTGAGGTATCCGGTAAATGGCACCGATTGTTAGGTGTCTTTAAGGTTTTTTACAGTAAAATTAGCAAAAATGTATTCCCCATATTCATCACTAAAGCAAGTGGTGCTAATACAAGATAATTGGTTAGAGTAATAGATTGCAATACCACCCCCAACTTGGTTTAGTCTGCAGTTGTGAATTGCTGTGATCCTGGTAGAGTGTAGATATCTATTGTGTCCTGCTTAAGCCAGGTCTCAGTAAGAATAATGCAGGAGAAGGGTGTCTTTAGTGATTCAAGGAGTGCCAGGTCATCATAGTGTTTGCTTTAGGACCTGATGTTGTAGTTAAGTGTGATAGGCTTTTGCATTGTTTAGGATAGTGCTGGCTTGTGATGCTGTGTAATAAAGGCAGTTACTTTCCAATAGGTTTTGATTGGGTGTCGATTATGGAGGTTTAGGTCAGGGTCAACGTGATCAATCATCTCTAGGTTTAAATTATGGTTATTTATATCCTGAGTTATGTGTTGAGTTCTAGTATTGATATCTGTAGTGGTGGGAAGCTTGGATAATTATATAGCTAGAGTATTTTGGTCATATAGAGTATAGTCACTACTACACATAATGAAGTTGATGTTGTCTATGTGTTGTGCTGGAATGAACTAAAGTACAACTAGGTATAAACTAGTAATATAAAAATACAAATTTAAAATAGAACAAGACCCTCACTTGTAATTGCACTAAGGTCTAATATAATGACTTTTGTGGAGTCTATGTTTTGAGCTAGAGTGAGCTATAGTACAACTAGATTTAATCTAATAATATAAAAATACAAATTAAAAATAGCACCAGTCTCTCACTAGTAATTGCAATATGGTCTAATATAATGAATTTGGTATTGACTATAGTACAACTGAGTTTAATCTAATAATATAAAAAAGGCACAAGACTCTCAATTGTAATTGCACTAAGGTGTTATATAAGTTGTTTACAAGAATTAGAGTATAACTAGATTTAAATTGACAAGATAAAATATACAAGGTAAGGTAGCAAAAGAATGAAAAAAGTAGAAAAAAAAAAAGATATATGAGGTAGTTGGTACTAGTTAGCAAAAGATAGCTAAGGGCCTTGAACAATAATATAATTGAAATATACACTAATTGCACACACAATATAGTCACTAAGATATGAAAACAATCTTAGAGTAGGAATTATAATATAAACTTATAATATAAAAATACAAATTGAAATGGTACTTGCAATTGCACTAGAGTCTGGTATAGGTTGTTGACAAAGTTGGGTATGTGGTGCGTTATAAAGATATTAAACTAACTCCTTGTTGGTTTTATAAACCATTAATATATAATAAAACTATCACATTTCCAATTTCCCGATGCTGATTTTGTGCACCTAATCATGGTGTGATGAGTGTTATTGAAACTGTGTTGTTCCACAGGAGGTGGTGTTGGACCTCCTGGCGGAGGCTATGGTGAAGAGAGTGTCAACATCCAAGGGCTTCCTCATCGACGGTTACCCACGTGAACAGGCCCAGGGCGTCCAGTTTGAGCAGAGGGTACGATGTTTACCAGTTTTTTCTTTGTAACTGTCTCTTCGTCAGTAACTCGCAAATTACAGATGGCGCTAGACGTTTCGGAAAAACGTAGACCATTATCATGGTAAGAATGATCAGTGGAAAGGTCAGGTAAGACGTGAGATAGCCAAGGTCAGTCAGGTCAGGCGAAGAGAAGTTGGAGGTTTGTCTAACGTCACTAGTGAGGTCGGGGGAGGAAAGGTTAGAGGTCAGTCAACATCAGTTAGGTTAGGTGAGGAGAACGTAGGAGACGGCTAAGGTCAGTTTGGTCAAGTGAAAGGTTAGGCGACCATCATTGTTTACCTCCAATTTTTATCTTACCCAGACAAATCACATTTGTTTAATTAAAGAAACAATCACTTGCCCTCCTCTCTTACCCCTCACCTTTGGACTTTTACTACATATCACTTGTAATCTCTTTACTCTTTATACTTATGGACTATTCTTGTGGACTATAGGCTGGCCCCGCTTAACAGTGTACTTAACTAATAGTGGTTTTTCACTTATACTTCATTTATTCATACTTCATTCAATAAATATATTCACCACTCACTATAAGCTAAGGACGAAAATATTTTAAGGTAAGTAATGTGTATACTGTATATGCATTTTAGGCCTATTTATATTGCTCACTTAATATATGATAATGTAAAAAAGTTATCAGGCTTTTTTATGCGTTTGAAAGTTAAAAAAGGCTTTCACTTCACAGCAGTACCCCGGAACCTAACTTTTTGTATAAGCGGGACCCTCTTGTACTTGAGAACTCTACTCTTCTATAATTATGGACCCTCTACTCCTTTGTATCTGTGGATTTATTCTTTATACTCCCTGCCGCTGTATACTGTTCAAAAAGTGATTTTCTATAAATTACTCATTGACTTTCAGGTACAACAGTTAGATTTTTGTTGACCCCAGATTAGTTTTGAGTTATATATTATAATCGGGTGGCCCAGTAGAAATAAGCTGGTAACTAGTGCTGGGAATAATCCCAGCAGATACCGATGAGGTTTTCCTGTAGAAATAAATTGGTAACTAGTGCTGCGAATAACTCCAGCAGATTTCAATCACGTTTCCCTGTAGAAATAAGATGGTAACTAGTGGTTGTTCTCTGCAGATCCTGCCGTGCACCAAGGTGCTGTACTTCGAAGTTCCTGACGAGATTATGGTGGAGCGTCTCCTGCACCGCGCCAAGACCTCTGGCCGCGTCGACGACAACGAGGAGACCATCAAGAAGCGTTTGGCCACTTTCCACAAGCACTCCAAGCCTGTTGTAGATTATTATAAGGACAAGTGTAATACCATCCAGGCTCTGAGTTCCCCTGACGAAGTCTTCGCCGAAGTTCAAAAGGCTCTTGCTTCCATGTAGTGAATATACTAACGTTCAGTTTGCAAAGTTCATAAACCTTATTTATAGTAAAATTGAATGCTTCCACGCACCCATAAATATAAAGTTAAAAACACCACCAAAGAAAAGATCTCGTAATACTACTTCATGTAAGTAATAAGTGATTTTTTCTCCGAGACTTGCATTTGAATACATTGGTTATGAGGTTGTCCAGCACCACCCATATTGGGTGGTCGAGCCCACAAACATACAACAGTGAAAACATAATAACAGTATGATGACACCGGTGTTTACTTTTCTCTTGACCATGGGGAGGCCTACACAGTGACAAGGGGAGAGCTTTTAATTTTATGAATTATGAATTTTCTTGACCATAAAAGAGGGCGACTTGTGACTCTTGACTTGAACTGTGTATATGAGACTGTATTTTTTACTTAATAAACTTTTCATGATTTGCTTAAGATTTGTTTTTATGAACACGTACAAGGACTGGTCTTTACGGTCAGTAACACACAAAAAACTCTGACTCCCGTAAATGACTAATGTCTTCCAGCAGCAGTTTTTTGTGCCTATTAAGACGTGTCTGTAGTGATCCATCGACTGAATGATAACCTTGAGAGAGCAATATACACTATGCATTTACTAAGCGGGACTTATGACTGAGAGAACAGTACACGTTACATATAAGTACTTTGAGGGATTTGTGACTTAGACCAGTAACGTACACTTAGGAAGCTGGACTCATGACTAAGAGAACAATACATATAATATATACTTAATGAGAAGGACTTGGGACTTGTTTGACTGACAGACAACACTGACCGGGAGAAACGAGAGATAATTTGAGAGAACAGTCGAGTGGAAGACTAGAGGTTATTGCCTGACGAGCAACAGTGAGTAGAAGACTTAAAGATTGACTGACAGGCAGCAGTGAGCGGGGCAAACGTGCTGGTGTGTGACAAACTAAAGATGCTGGCGTAAACAGATAGCTAATAACTGACAGATATTATACAGGAAAAGTGCTGAACTAAGTTGACTGTAACTTCGACTGAAAACTTAAAATAAATTATGAATGATTACTTACCAGTGAGAAACATTTTTGACAAATATTTATGACTGAAATGCATTTATGACAAATATTTAGGACTGAGAAACATTACTGAAATATTTATGCCCGAATACATTTATGACTGTCACATTCATGCCTGACAGCACCATTTATGATTGACAGTAACACTGATGACTGACAGTAACATTCATGACTAACAATTATTAACCGGCTGACTGAACCCTGACTGGGGCTGATTATATAAAACGTACATTTATTACAACATGGAGGAGACTAACGGCTGTAGTTGCCTGTTATAGAGGAACACCTGAGATATTTGACTGACAGCCGTAGATTGAAAATTAACTGTGACTAAAGAGCAATCTGTATAGCCCTTGTGGCTTAGCGCTTCTTTTTTATTATAATAAAGAGCAATAGTACCTGCTGATTGTACTGTAACTGAGATGTACTTCACTAAGTGACATTTGATAGACACTGAGACTAGATTAATTGTGACTGAAAAGAGAGAAATACGGCTGACTGTGACTAAGACTGAAGAGACTTAAGATTGGCCTAAGCTCACTTACAAATGTATACGAGACATTGAATTATGAGTGACGTGTATAAATTCGTAAACGTTTAAAAAAACATTGCAGAATCCAGACTCCCAGGCATGTATATTATTACTTTGTCTCAAAATTCAAGCTTCGGTAATTCCATGCACACAATATGTATGAAGACTAAGACACAAGTCGCAGAACAATGTTTTGCTCTGTTTAGAGCTTGGTAAAGCTTATGCACAGCGAAAAGTTGTTGCAATAAAAGCTTGTGCAACTAGTGTGTGTATTCATTCTTGTCGAAAATACAGTTTCATTCAATATCTCGTGTATCTCGATAGATATTTCATAATCTTTGCTGCTATTTATTTCACAATGGAAACACAGGCGTGATTCATCATGTGGCATTGTTGTCGCCTTGTCCAAGCTTGTGAATACCCTGTGGACGCCTCACAGTATTCACGATAATATCGGGCTTCCTAGTCACCAGTAGTGTATGGCTTCTTCCTCGTGCACTCAGTCTGTGATTCTTCTTCATCGTGCCTCCGGTTGTGCACTTAAGGGTTGTGCCAAGGTTGTGTATAATAAGTTTATTTGTTGATACGGAAAGTGTATTTCTGGTTTAATGTTATATTATATAAAGGAGAGGTTTTAACATAGTGGTCGATATATGAGCCATGGTATTTCTTTCTTCATGTTAAGTTGTGTAAAGGAAGTGTCACCACGAGCATTCGATAACTAGGCATGGCCTCTTTTACCGGATGGCGTCATGCAAACCTTGCTTGAAGCTTGATCAAGACTTTATCAGCACTCAGGCGATAAGGGGTAAAGATGCGGTGACGATTAGAACAATATTTCAAAAGTAAAATATATTATAAGGTGGTACAGTTTAGGATTATCCCAATCATGTGATTTCTGAAGAACGAACTGGGTTGTAAATGTTTCCTGAAACCCCACCCATTCCCGCAAGTACACCGTACTTTTCCTTCTGCACCTCTCACACTTTCATTTTTTTTTTTTTAATTTTTACTTTCTCCGTGCCATTGTTGATCCACCTGTTGATTTATGCAAAATTTTATTCTGTATTTATTAATATATTAATAAATCTTGTCTTATAACTGAATTTTTACTTCACCTAATTTGATTCCCAAGGCCAGGATCCTCTTTATTCCTTGGGATAATAAACTTTATCTATCTGTATTGTTTAATAAATTAAAAAAATAAAGGTTACATGTATATAAAAAGCATATGATGCATTACAAAACGACCTCATAAATGAAACAAGTAAGTGTGGGAAAAACACAAGACCACCATTCCTACCCTGCTGTTTCTCTGAAGGCGAAAGGCGAATTTTGTTTATCGCTTTCAAGTGAATGTAATAATCTGTGGTGATAAACAGCCTCCAGGGGTGTTAACAAGTCTACCTAACTGAATTCTTGTCACTATCCTTTGTTAAATTTAAATTCTTTGTACGTATTGTTTTGCATAAATATTGCATTCATATAATTTTGATTTATGACTGTAGATGTATTTAAGTCTTCAAACTAGCTACAACAAAGTGTAGCCTATTGTGAAGGTTTCTGATCCAAGAAACTGGAGTTACATTTTCTATTCCATGAATCACACCTGGTTACCGTTCACTTCCCAGGCGTTATGGGACTCCTATTAGTTTAAGATTTTCCGTGAAAGTATAATAAAATTAAAAATACTATTATTATTGGGGAGGGGGCCTCCAGCAGCAACAACCTGGTTGACCAGGCAAGCACCAGACGAGCCGGGCTCCGAGAGTAGTGAGACTCTAAACTCATCGAAGGTTTTTTTTTTTTTTTAACAAGTCGGTCGTCTCCCACCGAGGCAGGGTGACCCAAAAAGAAAATACTTAAAAAGTTTGTGTCGCATTATGCATTCAGGTGTTATGAACAAAGGGACAAGACATTATCGTGCACAGTGACTCCCTATCAACGAGTGAGGACGTAAGGTATATGTCAAATTTTACTAGAGCAGACTGGCTGTCGCCACAACGCTGTGATAGGCTATCACCAGGTCTGCTTCAACGGAATGTCATAAATGCTATAAACCGTATACTATGTCATATTTACATAAAAGGTGCCATGATGCTGATGAAAGGCCGTTTGATCCAAGGAAGTAGTTACCCCTTCCCTTTCCTCGGGTCATAATACCCCTCAAGGGAGGTTCCTTGACGCTGTTGGGCTCTTGATCTAGGGAATTGGATCTGTGCTCCAGTTCCCTGAATTACACCCGAATACCTTCCATCCCCCCACGTGTATAATCCTACGGGTTTAGCGCTTCCCCATTATAATAATAATCGGGCTAAGACGACAGATTCACAGAGAATTACAGTATGCTTGATTGTTAGTAATCAAGTAATATTAACACTAAACCCACACGAAGTCAAGAGGCTTTAAACCAAATACACTAAGATACTCGTAAAAATTATTGCTATAATCAAAGAAAGCGCTAAAACCAATTCTCTTACAAAATACAACCAGGGTGGGGCCATCTATGGAATAAAAGTGTACCTATACATGGAGGGAGAGTTGGTACCTCCTGTAGGGACACAACTCAAGTTTGTTTATCACTGGTGATTGGAAAGTATCTGCTGGTTTTAAGGGATTTAGTACGGAAAAACAAAACTTGCAAGTCTGACATGTTGCCTAAATAAGACTAAGATAGTCTGAAATTAAAAGACATGTATACAAACCTAGTTGGAAAGCGACAAACTAACAAAAGTGAGCAAAATAGTGAAGGTGTTGGCTTTGTTTATCACGACAGTAGAATGAGGTTCCCGCGCGTCAAACAGCCGAGTTGAACCATTTAGTTAAAGGTTTTAAGTATATTACTGCAGATAGAAGAACCTGGAAGGGAAGTGAATGAAAAGTAAGAAAAATATTTTATCTACCATGACCTAGACAAACATCTACAGTGACCAGCATATACAACAGCTCATACATGCAAGTCTTACCTTCATTCGCCTGTTGTAAGTATCCGTATTAAATTTGTAAGTCTTGGACCCCACTGGCAAAGTACTAATAAAAGAACACTGTAATGCAGGTGAGGAATTCTTGTTACAAGAAAATACTCATTCTCGCCTCCTTAATTTAAGTAATTGGCGTTAGTCACCCTTATGATCATTATTATTATTATAATCAAGGGGAAGCGCTAAACCCGGAGGATTATACAGCGCCTGGGGGGGGGTGTGGAAGGCATTCAGGCTTAATTCGGGGAACTGGAGCACAGATCCAATTTCCTAAATCAAGAGCCCCTCACCAACATCAAGGAACCTTCCTTGAGGGGACCCTTATGATCAATCCTGATTTCCTTCTACCCCCCAGCATTATCGTGTCGTTATTGTATACCATTACTGCTACCACGACCCCTGTGGATTTACCGCTTCCACATAATACTAATGTTAATAATCCACAATGACTAAAATATGTTATCGTCTCCCACTGGAATAATGAAGTGGTGTCGGTCCTTGGAGGACATGGAAAGCAGGCAACGTGTTCTGCTTACCATTACTTAACATTTGTGTTATACTAGTTGCCAGACTTTGTGATAGTTAGGCGAGTTTACTGTGTGCGCGCTTGGTGTTTTGTGATCTTGGGCAGTCATGATTGTGGTGGTTAACGATGAGTTAAGTGGGCACACAGTTGCTACACATCAGATGTGGCTAATGGCAGAGTTATATTCAGTCCTGGGAAATTAAGAACAAATGTCTAACTAATTGGCAATGGAATTTTTAATATGATTATAGGGAATGCGTTCCGAAACAAATGCCAAACACCTTGACTGCTACAAAGCTTCCGCTGCCATCTTAAAGAAGTAGCTTTCTGGAGTTTTTTTTCACTCGTTAGCCATTGTCTTGAGAGAAATGTCACTTCAGAACAAAATGAAAGAGCTCAAATTTCTGTAAACAGTACGTTTTACTTTTTTTTTGGGGGGGGGGGTACGACTAATACTTCACCAGAAAATATTTTATTTCTACAATAGCTACGCTCCTTTGATAATTTTTTAATTTTCCGGTACAGTTTTTCCCCACCCTACCCATGAGGTTCAGTATTTGGAACATTTTTTATGTAATATCCCCTGTAGTATTTGTAGGAAAATTTCGTTTCCTTCGCATCATGTTCACTACTAGTGATTGTAATGACTCACAAAATCGTAATACACATTGAAACAAGCCATCCCACGGGCGGGGATAAAACCCGCGGGTTCACCCCCGCCCGGGGTATGTTTGTTTTGTATATAAAATTTGGGGGGTTCATTTCAATACCTTGATGACTACGATTTGTATAAAAGTTTCAATGTAATCTTCCAAAAGGGTGTTAATTTTTTTATAGATACAAAAAAGTATTTTGTATATGATTAATGTATAAAATATTATTATATGTCGTCCCGAATAGTAAAACTTAAGTTTTGGCTTAAAATAGCAATAAGGCAAGCGAAAAAATTTGTGTATGCAATAATTTTCGAAAAAATTATTTGTCTAACGAGAAAAATAAATTTTATTGTGTTTATATTTAAAATTTTGTAAAATTATCTAATATATATATATATATATTTTATATAATATATATTTTTATAATATAATTTATTATATATTTTTATATAATTTTTTTATATATTTATATATTTTTTAAATTTTTATTTTTATATTTATTTATTTTAAATAAATATATTTTAATAAAATTTATAATTATAAAATTTTTTATATTTTAAAAATTTTTATATAATATTATATAAATTTTAAAAATATTATTTAATATATATATAAATTTATATATAATTTTAATTATATAATTTTATATATTTATATAATATATATATATATTATATAATATTTTTATATATTTTTATTTTAAATTTATTATTATATAATATAATATATTTTTATATATTTTATATAATATATATATATATTTTATATAATATATATATATTTTTTTTAATTATTTTAAATATATATATATATTTTTAATATTATATTTAAAATATATATTAAAATATATTTTTATAATATATATATATATTTAATAATAATATATATATATATATTTTATAATATTATAAATATATATTTTTTAAAATAAAATATATATTTTATAATATAAAAAAATATAAAATATATTATATATATATTATATAATTATATATTTTTTAATTTTAATAAATATATATTATATAATTATATATTAATTATATAAATATATATATATTTTTTATAATTTATATATATTTTTTATATAATTATATATATATATATTTATAAAATTTTATAATATATATATATATATTAATATTATATATATATAATATAATATAATATTATTAATTTTTTTTTAAATTATAATATTTAAAATAATAAATTTATATATTTTAATATATATATATATTTATTAATTTTAAAATATATATTATTATTTTAAATTTTTTTTATTTAAAAAATTTAATTATATTATTATTAATATATTATAAAATATTAAAAAAATTTTAATTTATATAAATTTTATTATTATATTATAATATAATTTTTATTTTTAAATAATTTTAAAATTTTTTATTTTAAAATATTTTTATTTTTAATTTTAAAAAAAAAAATTTTTTAAAAAACCTTTTAAAAACTTTTTATTTAAAAAATTTTTTACTTTTTAAAAAAAATTTTTAATTTAGTAAAAAAATTTTTTAAAAACTTTAAAACTTTTTTTAAAAATTTTAAAAAATTTCTTTTTTTTTTCAAAATTTTTTTAAAAACAAATTTTTTTTTTATTGAAAAAATTTTTTTTTTCCAAAAACTTTTTAAAAATTTTTTCCCCTTATTTCGAATAATTGTATAAACCTTAATTTTATTTGGGTTAAATTTAATAATCCCCCTTTCCCCTTTTTCTTTGGTCCTTTTTTCTTTTTTTTTGCCCGTTTTTCTCCCATTTTAAATTTTTCCGCCCCCTTTCCCCCTTTTAGGGAAAACCCGTTCCCATATAAAAAAACCAAAACCCTTTACTCTTTTGGGGCAATTCCAATTTCCCCTTTCAAATTAAACTCTTTTTTAGGTGGTTATTTCTTCCCAGATTGATTTAAAATTTCACCCCGAAAATTTCCC